ACTGCCAATAACAGGTAATGTCAGCTGAATGACGTATGACTTAATAAGCCATTTTTAAACTGCATCTTAAAATAAGACTTTGGAAGCTGAGAAGGTAAGCAATAGTTCATCTCTGTAAGTCCCATAGAAGGGCTTTTAAAGTATTGTTATGTGGGCTTTAAGGGCTGCCAGTGTTATTTTCTCACTCTCATTTACACTTCCTCAAAACAAAGGTCACTCTTATGCTTCCTTTTAGAACGTGACAAATTAATAATGCACAGAAACCTGCTCAGCAGTTTTTGTTGCACTGGGACCCCTCATGGGGCAAGCTGTGGGTTAGAAAGGGGTATTCCCAGATGTGTACGGTGTACACTATATGTGCATAATGAGAGAAACATACCTTTGTTTGCCCTTGATGGACTTCTGGTGGAGGATGTGTGAACATAGGAGTAAAAAGACATGAAATTAATTTTATTAATATTATTATTAATATTATTGTTTCCTGGTATGTGATTGTTTCTTATTTACTTATTTAGATATTTATGTACTTATTTATATATATGTATATGCTTTATTTGAATTGCTTATTTTGGTAGGACTTAATTGTTTAAATATGAAATGACAGTCATTTAAAAGTACTGTGCACCAGATTGAATATCAAAAAAATTATTTCCAATTTTTTTTAAACTGGTTTTCCAAATATTCTTACATTTTTTGATCAAACTGGTAATCCCATCCTAAACCCAGGTACATGTCTTGTTTTATTTTACGTTGTCGTGTGCAGGGTGGCGATGAAGAGTTCAGAACTGCTGTTTCTCTACGGCCAGTTGGACCCTCGTGTTCGGCATCTGGTGTTCAGTGTGCGGTGCTGGGCTCGGGCTCATAGTATCACAAGCAGTATTCCAGGAGCATGGATCACCAACTTCTCTTTAACGGTCATGGTAGTGTTCTTTCTACAACAGAGGAATCCTCCCATACTGCCCACACTGGACCGACTGAAGGAGCTGGCAGGTATACACAATTGTCCTTTACAGCCATGCTTTTCTGCAGTTTCTTGTCTATTGTACTACACTGCCATACAAAGGCAAAGGACAGTAACTACACATTTGGTCAAAACTGAGTTATGACTGAAACAGGATCTCTTAGATTATGTTCTGTCCTGTGACAGATGAGTTTGGCTCAGAAATCAAAGTGTAAAAAATAATAATAAATAAAAACAGAACTCAATTAAAAAATCAAAAAGCGATTTTTTTCTCTGCTCCAGTGTTGCTTTTAAAAATAAATAGCACAACCATTTACAAGAGTGATAATAATAAATGTTTTTTAGTATCAAATCAACATATTAGAATGGTTTCTGAACAATCATGTGACCCTAAAACCTAGAGTAATGGTTGATAAAAATTCAGCTTTTCCTTTATGTAAATAAATTGCATTCTAAAATATATTAAAATTAGGGATGCACCGATACTGGTATCGGTATCGGGCCCGATACTGAGCTCCTGTACTCCTACTTGTTCAAATGTCCCGATACCAAATGCCGATACCACACAGCATGTGATAAGTGCCATATTCAGACAAAAAGACACCGACATCAGACAGCAGAATGGAGAGATTAAAGATGTCTACGAAGTATATGTATGCAATGAATATAAAACATTCAGTATTAATGCCTGTATAGCTGATTTGCGCCAGCTGGTAAGCAAATCACTCTGAGTGGATTGAGCGCGCGGCGGCGCAGATGCGCGAGCTTGTCGAGTGAATATCCCTTTCTCAAAGACATCACTGGAAAGTTTGTAGTTCGGTCGGATATGTCAAAAAGAAGTAAGTAAAACAATGCACAAGTTACTTAATGGTAGGGAGAGAGAGAGCGCACTTCTGTTGTGTGATATTTATTGATGTTCGCTCACTTAGCACACATCATTTGGATTAAAACTAAATCGTAAATATAAGACAATTTATAGGGGCATTCACTATAAACGTCATTTATTTTCACCCTTAAGCATACACGACTTTCAGGCAAAAGTGAAACTAACAGCCTGTGTGAAATGC